CACATGTAATACCTGTGTTACCCTATGTATTACACCTATTCTTCCTATTAACTATGTATGTACATGACTTCTTTCAGCCTATGGGACTGTCATGCAGTCCTCAGGGCTGACAGCACCAGACTACTTTTGTAGTCAAAGCTATGAATACCAAATTGAGAAGAAGACTAAAAAATTCCTTTATGAATATTGTCAGCCCTGAGGACTGCATGACAGTCCCATAGGCTGAAAGAAGTCATGTACATACATAGTTAATAGGAAGAATAGGTGTAATACATAGGGTAACACAGGTATTACATGGGTAATAGGTGATGCACACAGATAAGGAGCAGTGTAACATATGTATTACATAGGAGTGAGTAGTGTAACATATGTATTACATAGGAGTGAGTAGTGTAACATATGTATTACATATGTAATGAATAGTGTAACAATTGAACCACACCTCAAGCTCAGTGTCAAGAGCTGTAGATACATATATAAAGCCATCTGATGGCATTACATGAGTATCATCTACTAGATGAAGAAGTGTAAATGTAAATTGAGTAACTGGTAATAAATAAGAGCTATTATTTATTACAAGACAAACCAGTTAGGGCTAGGTTAGCCTTTTGACATGGGAAATTCCTAAAGTGAAGGAAGATTGAAGACTGAGGGTATAAAAGCAAGTCCCAAAGTCTCCCCTCCAGGAGGACAATTTCTAACAATCAATCAATTAACTAAGAATTTATAACTGAACAGCTTGAGACACTATTAAAGTGATCCCTGAGCTTTCTTCTTCTCAGATAGTCATAGAATCATTCACCCTAATCTGGGTGTGGTGATTATTCTATTAATAAGAAATAAGCTTGGTCTCTTAGTCTCTTTTTTTGACTCTTTCTTAATTGTCAAGGTTCACACTACTCCTTATCTTCACTGCCCCTCATACTAGGAAGCTCCTCCCTCTTGTCTTTAGGGTTCTTGAGAGGGAGCTAGTTGAGGAAGAAGACTAAAGTGTCTTAGTGCCTGCTGAGTGAAGCCCTAAATTGGGATTCAGCCCCTCACTGTGTTTCAGACAGGCTGGTTCTCCTGCTCACCCAGTGGATTCACAGTGCCCATCTGCCTCCTAGGCTTTGAATCACTAGAGGATTTGGGGAAGAAACCCTTAATTGCACTGAGTCTTTGACTCAACCAACCATCCATCATTGCACTTTTAAGTGAGAGTCCAGCCAACTGTGTTGGATTCTGTGTTTTTCTCTTTGTGCTTTCCCACCTGTCTCACATGTTTCACATCTCATGTGACATCTCCTGTGACATCCACATAGTCAGTCACGTAGAGCAGCAGCCATGGCAGGATTCTTCTCCTCATCCTTCCATGAACTCACACATCTCATGTTCTACTGCTCTAGGTAAGTCTTTCTCTAGTTTCTCTCTCTCTCTCTCTTTTTGTTCTTTCTGTTTGGATGTTTGTTTGTCTGTTTGTTTATCTTTGTCATTTTCTTTGCAATGAACTTATCCTTCCATGAACTCACACATCTTGTGTTCTGCTGCTCTAGCCTTGTTCATTGCAACAAAGTGAAGCTAGGACCTCATATCAGGGCTGACAAAACTGGAGGTCACCACTCAGGTTGGTAACCTTAGAGTCTTGCAGACTCCTTGTCAGTGGGGACTAAGAAGGATAGAGATAAATCACCAAGACAGGAACCAAAGCACCCTGTCGCATAGAGGATTGGAGCCAAACAGTTGTAGTGCTCAACTGTGCTCTCCTTCAGCACCTAGTTCTAGTGCATAGAGACCCAGTCCTGCCAAATCCTCTTCCTCATGGTCCTCTTCTTGTAGTCCAAAAGATGGTCAGGGCTGGATTCAAACCAGCAACCAGATCCAATGGATCTGGACCCAACACACATGGGCTCCCTTAACCACTAGGCTACCTGCCCAGCACTCTCAGGTGTTCCCCTATGTCCTTATAGGGTATGGTTTACACCATGTGACCCTCAGGTCACAACACATCTAACTGCAGTCTACACATGAGTGCATCAAGAGTAGACTGAATTCTCAGCCAGGAAGTAGCCTTAAAGGAGCCACTCCCTGACATTGCTAGTCTGCTGACTGCAAGACTCAAAACACAGAATGCCTTTTAGTCTGAAAGATACCACCAGTTCACAGTGTCTCACATGTTCTCCCAGGTTGGTTCCTTTTGTTTTTCTTGTATATTTTTTCTCTTCCCTCTTATTCTTAGTGTTGGGGAATGAAAATGCCTATTTAAGTGTGTCCCACACATCTTGCTTGACCTCTCACAGCAACAGTCCACCCTTTCCTATAGCAACAGAATTTCTGAATTATGCACAGCAGGGAGAGGAGATGAAGGGTTTCACTCACCTTTTTTACAGGGAAAAGATTTAGGCTAGGGATCCAAAACAAGACTGATACAATGGAAACAAATCAGAGGTTCCCAGAGAAAGATGACAATGACAGTTCCATGTATTTCAGTTGTTGCCCCAGTCAAAAACATCAGAAAAGGTGAGTCTTTGTGAAGCTCTTGACATTAACAGTGGCCCAACTCATATCCCTATATTGCGGATGTTCTTTTTGATAACAGAACAAATTGATAGTTCATGAATGGTAAAGTGTGGAAATTGTTTGTAATGATTGATTTACAGAAGATACATAGCCACCTTGTACAATGCCACATCCTTCAAAAAGGAGTGTTTGAAACACTCTCCTGGACCAGCTACTTACGGTCAAATTTTGATGCTATCATGCATGATTTGATGGTCGTACACTGGTTAACCTGACAGCCAGTGCAAGCACTTCAAAACAAGGAGGTTGAGTACAATGTAATAAAGCCAGTTAGCGTGAAATGTTGAGAAATAAGGAGAAGTGGAAACATGATCCCGTTGATTTGACTTACAAGCAAGATTTTCAGATGACGCAAAATACTTTTTTTTACAAGTACAGTGAAATTGCAGGCAATCGAAGACATCAGCTTGGGCAAAATCATGCCTGTAAAAGCGTGTGAAAATACTCAACAGTCACCATGTCAACGTGGACCTTAGAGTGATGATGGAAGTTTTGCTCAAATTTGTTTAAAGCCAATTCAGCCATTGACATCTTATTTTGAATCTCGGTCGGGATTACATCCCAGTCCCCGTCCGCGTTTTCGAATGCGACGTTAAAAGTCACAGCCGACTTGGTAAAATGAGCGGTATAGCTTGCAAACATTGAACATGCTGTCGTTAGCTTCTGGTGTATCTGTGGGGTGTAAAGCATTATCAAGGTGGATAAGTACAACTTCGGCTGGACCGAGCGCGCATGAGGCAGCAACACCTGGTACAAATAAGCTACTTTTGGTTCACCTTCAACAATCTTGAGTTGGTCAGCATACACTCTTTCAAACATGTGTCCAAAAAGTCAACATGCTCCCGAAGCAGGCCATCAACGGTATCTACTTTATCAAGCTTTAGTTGAAGCTTTCGATAATTTTTCTCCAAAACTTCGAAACATATGAAGTTATACAGTGACTGTACAAAGCTGAGCATCTTGGCTCTTAAATTGAATATCCTGCGTTTCCAGCACTCCAGTCGGGGATGTGTTTTAGTAGATGATCTCCAGGCTGGCGACTTGGTGTGATCGGTCCACGACAAAGTCAAAGACTGTTCAAGATGTTTTAAATGAAGCAAGTAGCGGAAGATTAATTGATAACGCAAAATGGTCTTGCGAGAAATCACGAGTGAAAGTGGAAATCGGACTGTGTAGTCTAGTTGGAGAGCGTCGATTCCTAGATGTGGCCAAGTATAAGCAAGCTTGGACCAGGTTGTAAATCATAAAAGGGGGAGAGATACCGCACCCATCAAAGCATCTTTCTTAGTTTCGGAACTGACTGCGGTAGCAGATTCAGCCGTGCCGGCACCCCCGGCCGCCAGTTCGGCCAAGCCAGCCCCCACTGCATCCATTATTTCGCCTGGCTCTGCAGCCGAATTACCCAAACCACCAGAGCCACCCTCGGTACCACTCCCACCCAAGAAGCCATGTTGCCTCGTCGAACTCGTCGACTGGCTTCCACCAATAGCACCAGTCACGCCAACGATCTTCAATAACCACTCTGTTAAGCTTGTAGTGGCCATGGTCACCTTGACATCTTCTTTATAAGGGTCACTACTGCTCGAGCTACTCGGATTTCGGATGGCCAGATCAAATTGGTTCTGAAGGCGAGATACATTGACATGTTTTAACTTTTTTGTCAACTCATAAGATGCCGTGTCCAAAAACGTCGTGAAGCTGTCACCTTGGGCAAGGAAGAAGTGGTGCTTGAGGGACTGCAGCCGGCCCACGAGGTCTTCAGACTTTATCAGCAAGTCTAACAGGGACCTATTGGCAGAGATGTAAGCGCGGTCGATCAGTGCGTAAAAAGCCTCGTCGTCCATTTTAATTAGCCGGTCGTGATTGTCCCTGTTTGTGAAGCTGAATAATCGCGCATCCGACCATTCATCGGTCTTGGAAAGATTACTGGCCTCAACACCGCATTCGCGCATGACATTGACATACTTGCCAGCGAGTAATATCTTCACTTCCCATACCTCCAAGAACCTCGGGAGCACGGCACCCCCAGAAACGCCACTCACCTGCCGCCAGATTGCTTGTTCACTACCCGATCGATGATGACGAGCTTGTTGACTTCCCTGGGTGGCGGACAGTGTAGCAGAGGCAGAGGAAGCGGATGAACGGTTCCTGAGAATGTACTTACGTTCCCAGTACTCGTCGGTGAAATCTATCTCCAGAGTGCCTCGAGTGATGCTTTTACTTTCTTTGATGATAAACTCTTCGTAAGGATCGTCTAGAACGCCTTTCATGACCCACAGCATGAGCATCCTAGAGTACGGTTGAGAGGCCTTCAATAAGAGATCCGAATACAATTTAGACGCCACTGGATCCCCAAGCGTTTTCATGACTCGATCTTCCAGGACAGCCAACACTTCACCACCTTTAACGATTGTACCATCAGTGGTCGGAGTGGCGTTATTTTCGGGCGAACCCCGATTTGGTTTGGTCTTGGGACGTCCGCCGGATTTGAACTCATTCAAGACTGCCTTCAGACCTTCGTCTTGCTCAGAGTCGTCGTCCAAGTCCGGATCTTCTCCTTCGTTCTCGTCGTCATCAGAGGATAAAATGCCAGGTGAATAAATAGCAACAAGTTCGGAGGTAAGTGAATGAAGCAACTTGAGAATATGAAGCGTGTCATGCACATAAAACCAGAACCGTTGAAGTGTGAACTCTGGTGAAGTGTTGTATTGGTGCTCCAGTTGAACCAAGAGTGTACTATAGTCCTACCGGAGCGCAGGGTATAAGATATTGACAGTGGTTCAAACTTCGATGAGATGAACTGAGGATGGTCCTGACCTTCAACAGGTCCCGAACAGCGGCACAGAGCGCATGGTTGACCAGGCCATATTCTAGATGACTATGAGCCTCAACGAATGCATCGATTGACGTAAAATAAGTGGCCAAGGGTAAAATGCGCTCGACCAATTCTCGGAGTGAGGAATCTAAAAGATCAAGATATGAGGGGTAAGATTTGGAGACGCCGTCAGAATGAACTCAACCTAAATTATGTTACTTGATATTGGCTCCGGGAACATCAAAACAGAGGAACTACACACCCAGATCTTCGTCAATGGCGAATCGAGCGCCCTGGAGGCGTTCAAAGGGGTCATCAGGCGAGTAATTCGGATCAAACTCGATAAAATTCCCTTCGATTCCCATCAGAACGAAAAGTAGATCTTCAATGATCAAGGCCTCTTGCCATTCGACATCAATTTCTTTCAAAGCTTCTCGTTGCTGGCGTTCATGTTGTTTTGCATGTTGATAATGTTGGGTACCGGTCGAACGTAGATTATTGAGAAATTCGTGTGTTTTCTCCCCATCTACATCCTCATCATCCGACCCAGAATCGAAGGGGTTTCGACGTAAATGGTATTGCTCCATCGCCACTTTTGAGCTAACCTTTCTAGGAGACAAGAAAGGGAGACGGGAGTTTAGTGGAGCGTCTGAAAAGCCGCCAACCGGGTTCTTGGCTGATGATGGATGACCTACGTGAACGCAATCTTTATAAGTCATACCATCAAAGATGCGAGAAGGAACAAGAGAGAGAACATACCTTTGAGTCTAGTGAGAACAGGATGGCGCGTGAGGGGATCATCGGCAGGTGGTGGTGGTAGGCGAACTTCAAGACGTGACGGATTTCTGACACTGGCTATGGCTGATGATATCTAGATTTTTGAAAGTCTTTAGAACTGACTTTAGGCTCGACATCATGAGTGGTTAGCCACCAGACTCACCTTGTCGACTTGCTTTGCTGACAAACCACCGAAGCGAGTGGCTGATTGGTGAGGAGGGCCGGACGGCGTCTGAGGCCCAAAAGCCGATGTACGTAGGTGATGGGGAAGACCGGTAGATGAGGATGAGAGGGGTGGTGGGACTGGGCTGGAGGATCCGTGAGTGGAATGTCGGTGACTAGACTTCATGATGATGTTGATCGAAAATTTCAAACCACAATAAATAGTAGCTTAGTTGCTAACAGCGAAAGCAAGGAAGTGTCCGAGGTTTCGGACCGACTCTAAGGGCAGCCATGTTTAGGACCTACACCAGGCCCGACCCGGTCCGGCGTTTCCGGTCCGAGACAGCCAAGCGGGAAGTGAGCGCGCCTCGGGCTAGCTCGAAGCCCTCATCACTGGTAGCAATTAGCTGTCGCTTGCAGTGCAAGCACCGGTGCGGGGCTTGCATATCGCTCGCACTGTCGCTTGCAGTGTCGCATGCACTGTCGCTTGCACTGTCGCTTGCACTGTCGCTTGCACTGTCGCTTGCAGTGTCGCTCACACTGTCGCTTGCAGTGCCGCTCGCACCGTCGAGCTGTCGCTTGTCATTGAGATGTCATTGTACA